AAGCAAGGGAAGAAAAGGGGGATCGAGCTGCTCGTGGACCTTCCCCAGGCTGTGGTCACGCGATGCGGGGGGTGCAGGAGAGGCACAGATCCGCACTGGGGCTCTGGATGAGATCCTAGATCCGCACACACCCAGATCTGCCCCTCGCCCCACGGTTGGCCCATTCGGCCGTGGGGCATTGGGATCCCTTGGTCGCTGTTTCGGCAGAGCCAAACTATTCTCTTTGCTGGTTTTGAAGGTTTCCCAAGTCCTTGTTTTCCAAAGGGAGGATCCTCCTCCCCACATGAGAGCCAAGATGCCGCTGGTGGAGGGGTTCATGCATCCCTCACTGCCTTCATGTAGTGTTTACCGTGACCCTGCTCCGTGTTATGGGCTGGATGAGAGGCTCCAAGGCCAACCCTTAGCAAACCCATCCACGGCTTCTTCTTACACGAGTCTCTTTATCCACAGTGGCATCGAATCCTCCTTGCATTTCTGCAGCAGGGTGTCTGGAGAGCCTGAGAACTTGGTCCCATAGAGCAATAATATGTGGTGGGGTGCAACTAAAAACCTCAAAGAAAGTGGTATTTTTTTTTTTTCCTAATGTAAGACCCTTCTGCCTCAGGACAAAGAGAAGCTACACTCAGAAATGAGCAAAAAAACTCAGGGACTGTGCTTGGAGGGAGAAGAACAAGCATGGGGTGTAGTGCTGCAGTCATCAGGGCTGGGCTGTGGATCTGCTCCTGACAGCAATATTCCATCTCTGGCAGCTGGTGACCACTTCTGGGGTCTTCACTTTTCCCTGGAGCATTACAAAGACTCGGAGCAAGCCATAAAGAATGACCTGAAAACTACACAAAATGGGAAGGAAGCCTATTCCATTTTATTGCATCTATTAGACCTATTGAAAAGATGGCTCAGAAGTGGCTTGATTGCCATGACAAACACCTACACGTAGGAAAGATTTAAGAGACCAGACATCTCTTTAACCTACCAAATAACAGCAGAGTGAGACCTGGGAACTGGAAGCCAAATCTCTACAAATGGTGTCTAGAAAAAAAGGCGCATAATTGCAGCAGAGAGAAGTCAATGGTAGGACGTGTCACTCGCAGCCCAGGTCTAGACTTCACCAAGTATTTCCTTGCTAAGACAAAGGTGAGGGGGGCTGACTGAGTGAGGGTGTTTGGTTGCTGCTACTCAAGACTTGAAATATCGAGGTGGTTCTTTCAAAGCTGGAGATGCAGAAATCTGCTCCGACAGAAGCAAGATGGAGCAGGATGAGCTCCCTGCCCAAGTCGAACTCGGTGTCAAACCCAGGGAGCACAGCTCACCCTGCTGAATCACTGGAGCTGGGCGATAACAACGAAATCAGGAGAGGGCATTTGCCAAAGAAACAAAATCCCACCCATGAAACTCCAGCCTGCCAGGATGGTGCGGAGAGGCTGAGACCCAGTCCCAGGCACAAGCCAGCTCCCAATACCTACCAGTGCGCCCCAGCAGATCATGGAGATCTGCTTCTGGCAGGGCCCGCTCTGCCACAGGATTAGCTCCCAGCAGTTTTGCAGCAGAGGATGCGTGCGTGCACCAGGCAGGGCTGAAGTCACTGGATGCAATTTCTCTCCCCTCCAGACAGGATGGAGCGTGGCAACGACTGCCGCCGCCTTCAATTGCATTTTCAGTCCCTAAAGATGGGAAGTGATAGCCTTGCTCCCATTTTTCATCCCTGTAGCCACCTCCTAGGACGTGAAAATGTTCTTCTGTCGCTCTCCCAGAGTCCCCACCTTGGTGAGGAAGACCCCGGACAAGTGGGCTGGACAAAGGCAGGCAGAAATCAAGAAGCAAGCAGAGCCTGGGGGAAAGAGGGAAGCGACAGAGCTCGCAGGCAGCAGCCAGCATCTGCTGCAAGTCTGCAGCTACCACCAAGCCGAGACTATTTTCTTCCCCCTAGACTGAGCAGGGTAGAAAGGAGATCCTGACTGCGTGACAGGATCCTGGCTGCATGAAACATCACACCTGGTGCCTTAGCCACCCAGGTGGAAACTCACATTTCCGCGACCAAGCACGACACGTTCCCGCTCCAGCGCTGGGTGGGCACATCCATCCCCAGCAGCGCCAGCCTGGTGCCTCACTCCTGGCGCCAGCAGCCCAGCTCTGTGACCAGGCTATTACACACACCCAGACACCACTGCATTCCTCGTGGTCTCCCTTTCTGGAGATGAGCCTGTGGTTCCCAGCACATCCCCGCTTTGCTTCACACCTCTCCAGTCATATCCACCCTTTGCCCTTCCATCACCAACCTGCAGCTTCCTCAGCCTCTAACAACCAGTGCTGCGCATGCTATTTTGCAACCACGAGGCCGAGTCCTGCCAAATAACCGAGGTTTGCTGGTTTTCCATCACTGGGGATCTCGACGTGCAGCCCCAGAACTGCTTACGCCAACCCCCGGCGACAGGCACGTGGCGTGATGGAGAGGGAAGGCTGGAAGGGGAAGAGCATTGATCTGCAGCTTAGCCTTCCAGCCCAGGGGAGCCCTTCCTACATAAATATTTGCCAAGCAATGCATTTGTGCCTGTCGATGGCTGTCAATAGGGGCCTGCAAGTGCTGTTATCTGCGGAGCTGTCATTCCCAGGAACTCGATCCAAACGGCCCTCTCCACATCTCAACTGACAGCCAAATTATTTGTCCCTTTTTCATGTGTGTGCTGCTCGCACAGAGCCTGTCCCCCAACCACGGAGCACCCTGGGGTGCAGGCGGACCCGAGAAAAAGCCCTCTGAGCTGGCAGGTGGCACTGAGGCTCGTCAGCAGAGCCAGCACGCTGAGAGTTAACCAGCTCACACGCACACAGAGAGCTGTCAGACAAAGCCGTGGCCTGGATGCCTCCTGCTTCCCTCTGCTGCTTCCATCCTCAGGCTCCAGTATCTACCTGCCAGCTCTGGCAGCAGTGGGGAAAGGGCTGGTGTGGACGGGCAGCGTATGCCAGGTGGGACGGTGCCAGCCAGGGCTGTACCGACAGGCCAGAAGGATGCTGCTACGTTACCGTGGAAATGGTCAGCTGTTTTCCGTCTCAGGGCCTCCACCGTCTCCTCCGTGTCCGCCCACTCCAATACCAGCCTCCGGCCGTACAAATGGGTGCTGTGGCACAGGGCGTTGAACGCTTTCTGTGGAATTAAGAGAAAAAAACCTCAACACAATAATAAGGGAGAAAATAAAAACCAGGCTCACACGAGGAAAAGCAAAGATGTCCCTCCCTCTGCCCTGAATCTGAAAGGCCACCAGACTGCTTTGAGCACTTTGCTCTGACGGGGCAAGATTCATCTCCATCAGAGGTTTTGACTCGCTCATTTATCTTCTACGTACTTGCAGCAGAGCAAATACCCATCGCTGCTGCTGGCGAGGGAGCCGGCTGAAACCCAGCCTGGCAAGCAGCTCAGGGTTGGCTGCCACCCTGGGGATCACACCTGAGCTGGGAAAGCCGCAGCCTGGGAAGACTGTCGAGACTTGGGGCAGCCCAGGGTGGGTCAACTGCAAACCAGGACCCTCACAGGCAACGCAGCCTTGTACCTCTACATCCACCTTCTTCTCTGCTGGCACATCTGGGCTGTGCGAGTAGAGATGTTCTTTCTGCCCAGGGGCAACAAGTTTGAAAAAGCACAAGCTCGCCGGGGAAAGCTGCCTTCCTCTTGCCAACCGTTTGGTGACGTTGGCCACAGTGGCTGCAAACGTGGCAGAAATGGAAGGCAGCGTGCAAGTCCTCTTTTTGCCTGCAGTGGTTTTTTATGTGACAGAAATCCAGAGGTTTCCTCGTTGTTATGTCCTGCTTGGTAACGTCCGTACAGCTGTAATCTCTTGCTGATGTTGAACACACGTGTGCCGGCCAGCACAGTAGCTCAGATGGCTTTCCATGCCTACAGGCAACCAGATAAGCATTCAGGAAACAGCAACTCCATCCAGGGAAGGCTGACTTTGTCTTTATTTCCCACAGACTTTCAAGGAAATCCAAGACTGAGCAGGACTGGGCCCATAATGCAAATACACAAACACGCCGGTCAAATATTTTCATCCCCCAGGGGCCCACAAAGTGCTCCACAACAACACAGCACGTGGCTGGGCGCAGGGGCAGAGAAAAGCAGCCCCAAATTCTGTTTTAAAAACTTCAGCTAAGGCTGAGATTAAGTCAGGTTATAGGCTCTGCAGACTCGCATCCCTGGAACAGGACCCCAGAAATGTGTCCTCCCACCTGGAGGCTCCCAAACCAGTATCAAAGTTCTCCTTGAGAAGCTCAGCCCTCTCCTCCGAGCCATCGGCTAAAAAGGCAGTTTTAAGCCACTGCAGTTGTCCCCAAGGTCTCTGGGCAAAGGGACTCTTCCTGCAAGAAGCTTTGTCTTCCCACACCTGCTCCTCGGCAGCCAGGACCCTGACTGAGCCGCCGGGTTACAAAACTCAAAAAAAGCCCCATTTCCAGTGACCAGTGCTCAGCAACTTGTGTAACCCCCTCCTTCCAACTCGCTTTCACTCATATAATCCTCATTCATAATAAAAAAAAGAGTAAGGAAGAGTCCCAGCCCCACCTGCTCTGCAGCATCACAGAGACTCCCCATCTCTGCCAGCTCCCCCAGGCTGACCCCGGAGGGGGTACATTCCCCTCCGAAGGGCTCTCCAAGCCTGGCTGGTGGGTTTTTTTGCAGCTACAGCTGTTTTTATTTGCCGTGGCTGTTGTTTTAAAGGCCTATTTTCACTTGGAATGGTATCCAATTAGCAGAGCAATGTGTTGGCTTAAATAAACACTCGGGGGGAGGTGGCAGTAGGGAGTTGTGATGGCTGTTTACGTTGGCACAAAAAGCCGTTTCCAAAGCCTGGCAAACAACTGCAGCTCTAATCGCCGGGTCTCCTTCGTTAATTTATACTTTTTCATTTCTCACTTCTCACAGCACAAGGAGGAGGAAGCTTGGAGGACAGTATTGGCCCCAGCGAACCTCGCCAAGCTCCGCAGCAGGTCATGGAGGAGGGCAGACCATGCTGAACATGTCCACGATCACTTGGCTCTCCACTGCTCTGAGAGGAATTAAGACTTTTCCAGCTGAAAAAAAAAAGGGAAACCCCCAATGACTTAAAGGACAAAGGGCTGAAGGGAAGAAATGTCATGCCCATACATCCGTGCTGCTGGAAATCTTCCACATAGAGGAGGAACTTTGCCACTGCTGCTACTCCAAATGAAAAGATAGGTATAGTAAAAATACATTTTTAATTACATGAGAATTATGAAGCGAGGGCAAGCAGGCTGGTGTTCAAAGAAAGTGGGGCTGGCAGCGGGAGCTTTCTTGAGGTGCTGTTTTTCCACCTAAGGGCCTGACTTCCCATGACACCTCCTTTGAAGACCAAAGCATCCAATGGCCAGAGGTTTGCTTAACTGTACCTGCACTAGGGATAAAAAGAAGTGTGGTGTCCACTCACCCGAGAGAGAGAATCACCAGAAAACACCTCTCACTGCCACAGCTTCGCTTCACCCTACACCTTTAAGAAGCAGGGACCCTCCACCGCACGAGGTTTGGTATCTTTAAATGCTGAAAAAGGATGTTAAAGCAGCTGTATTTGGCAACACACCCACTGCCAGGTAACATCGAAAGCTGAAGAGCCCCGGCAAACCTCCTCGCAGGTCTCTTTTGCTTTGCAAATGCTTTAGGGGTTGTGTGAAAACCCTACGGCCTTCTCCACCTAGAAAATAGGACACGAGTACGCTTAAAAAATGTCATTTCTGAAGCCTCTCAAGAATGATTTTGCAGAGTTTGGCTTGAGCTTAACGTCACGGCTTGGCACAGCAGGATTCTGTCGCGAGTGAGTAGAGCTTGGGCAGAGCCCAGGTGGTGTGGATGGAGAGGGGAACAGAGCAGGGAAAAACCGAGAGACGAAAGGGAGAGGCTGGAACAGCAGTTTAAAACAGGGATTCAGAAAGGGAATTTCAAAAAATTAAGGGATGGCTGATAAATTCATAAGAAGCCCAGGCTGCCGGCACAAGACAGAAACCTCTTTGGAGCAGGGCACGCTGCGTCAGGGCATTGGAAAGGCAGAGATCAAGAGACCAGACCGTTGCGTTCGTCACCCCCAAGTGCTCCAGCTCCCTCCCTAAATGCCGTATTAATTTGGAGGACAGTGCTGCTCTGCCTATAGATTCCCCCTTGCCCTATTAAATACCCAAGCCAAAAAGCCTCTGGGCTGGATTCATTACAGGGACAAAGGGTCAACAACATTAGGAGACTGACAGATTTCCCTTCCTTGCAAGAACCAGTCCCAACTGAGGATGCTCTCTGCGATGCCAGCTGCACACAAGGATTTTTCCTTCCATGTGTGTGCATTTTATTTTTTTTTTAAGTTGACTGTCTTTCCCCCAATGGGCAATTTCTATTTGGAGACCAGATGTATTTTTATATCGACAGGAAAGAAGAGTGGAAACTCGTCTTCCAGCTAACGGTTCAAAAATAAAAACAATCCCACAACAATTCTGCAACAGGGAAAGTCAGGAAACGTGTCAAATGGTCAATGCTTCCTTAACTGGAGTTAATTTGTTATTGCCAGCAGATCACAGTCTCACTTCTCATCCCCTAACTTCCACGAACTCCCAGCCAGTGGTCAGCTGGCATTGGAGATTTCACAGAATCACAGAATTGCCTAGATTGGAAAAGACCCTTAAAATCATCGAGTCCAATCATTTAACCTAACGCTGACAAGTCCAAAACCCAAAGACCTGCCCAGCGGGTGTATGAAGATCACTTTGTCCCTCCCATCGCTGCCTTTGACGTGGGTTCCTCCCTGTCTTGTGGCTTCGCACGTGTGCGTGCTGTGATCACTTAAACGCCTGCGACACAGAAGAGGGAAGGCTGCTAATTTCACCTGATGGTGGTGTAACACTCCCAGTCGAGGTCCATCCATCACCCTGGGAGCTGTCAAACGACCCAAGAGCCAGCTCCGGCTGCAGACGTCACTGTGGGAAAGCTGAGACTGGGGCTCTGAAGGACGAGCAAGGGATGGCGAGAAGATGCCACCACCAGCAGCATCCTGTGCCCTGCCTGGATGTCACCTCCCCTCCCGTGATAGCACCTTTCTGCAGGGCTGGCTCTCCTCAAACTGGTGGAAGAGCATCAGGGGAAGCAGAGGGGACGAAACCCAGCACGATGGGACAGGTCTGCAGGCACAGAGTGAGGGAGCCTCACATTTCTGTCCTGGCTTCGGAAAGCCTCCACGTGCGCTCCCACAGGAGCCGTGATCGTACCGAGAAAAAGACAAACACGGGAGGTCACAGGCTTTAAATGCCCAACAAAGCCACCCTAACTATTCCATTACAAAAACATCATGTTTTATAAGATGCTTATAAGCGATTTCCAGATTACCACTCTGAGCAAAAACGCCATTGATAGGCACAGCTATTCAGCTCAGAGGTCTCCAGGCCCACTCCCCTCCTCTCTCATTTCACTTAGCAATAAACTCTAAGCCAATTATGTCTGTGTTTACAATATTCAGGATCCTATTCATCAATACACAGCGCATCCTTTTCCAGACGGCCAATGGAGTGTACTTGATGTGCCACTTGTGAGACAATTAAATCCCTCAAAGCGACGAGGGCAGGAAAAAAAGAGAAGGGGAAAAAAAAAAAAAAAAAAGGAAGACCTGCTTAGCTGGAAAAGAAGAAGCCCTCCCAGCCCTGCGTGATCTTCCGCAGCGCATCCCGCTCCCCGCTCGCTCACCTCCTGGGGCCTCTGCCAGCTTTGGGAGCCGTGCCCGGCTCTCTGCCCTCCAGCTGCCTTGTCAGCGATGGATGCATTTCCTACCACTGCGATCTCTATTTGTCCATCACGGCTGGAATCAGCCTCCGAGGAGCAGGAAAGGGATGAGAGGCAGACCCTGAGCCTGTGCCCTGCTTCCTCCAGAAACCAAGGCGAGAAGCAGGTGCTGTATCATTCACCCCCAAATCGAGCAGCAGTAAAGAACCAGCCAGGTCCCTGCCTGCACCCTCCCATCAAACGCTTCCAGTTTCCTCGCAAAAAGATTGGTTCAAAAAAACCAAGAACAAAGCCTGAACGACTCTGGAGGGAAGTCGAGGTTAAAGCAAAGCTGCCCGGAGCTGAGGTTTGAGCAGAGCCCCAGGCACAGCTCACTGTGCAGGGAGAGGAACGATGCTCCCGGGGGACTCGCTGCATCCCGCGCTGCCCCCCAAGGGGAGGACGAATGCTGAGCAGAAGAGAGTTGGAATTAGGATCAATACAGGGCCAACAAAGAAACTCTATGTACTGTGTTATACGGGAGGTCAGGCTGGAACGGATGATCTAATAGTCCCTTGTGATCCCGGATCAATGAATCCTGTCTAAAAACATAAACATAGGCTGTGCTTGCTCCTCCCCTCCTCCCTCCTTCATCTTCATTCAAGGCCTTGAAAATTCAGAGCCTCAGGGAGCCAGTGGAGCCATGTGGTCCCTTCTCTTTAGCAAGAAGATCCTCTGACTTGTGCTTACAACCCTTCCTCTTCCAGACACTGTGCAAATCGCCAGGAGCCAGCCCACTCTGCTCCGGTGCTTGCCCATCCCTTTGCCCAATTCACAAGTACCACTCCTCTGCTACACTCACTCCCTGACAAACACCAGGGAGTCTCAAAACACCCAAAGGAACTGAGGAACATGGGTCTTGCATGGTTTACAAATCAGTAAACAGCCACGATATCCAACACTCCCCCTAAAACCAAGGCAGCGGTGGAGGTGGGACACGTCCTCAGGTTTCCTGATGTGCTAACGTCGGGCCAAAACCATCCCTTCTTAACCTTGTTTCTGACAAACCTGAAAAATAAGCCCTTGTCCTTCTACATTACATGCATTTTCAGCCATTTTACTAGTTGCACCAAACTTACGCCCATTACAGCTTAGGTTGAGGTTTCTGTCATGTAACCTCCAGCGGGTGCCCCGTGGTTTTAGCCTCAGAGCGGCTTTGCTAGCGAATGGTAACAGCCTGCCCCACATCTGGGCTAAGCCTCAGTGGGACAGGACTTCCAGGCTCCCTTCCTCACCTTCTGCTCCAAGACCAAGCCAGGAAGGTGGCAGAGGGAGAGGAGGACTACAGAATCACAGAAGGCTGGGGGTTGGAATGGACCTCTGGAGATCATTGAGTCCAACCCCACAGCACATCTCACCTTGGCATCCTGCTTGGTGAGGAAATCCACAAACCCAAAGCCTCGGTGGGATCCTGTTCCTGCCATTTTCTTGGGCAGCCGGACGGTCTTCAGCTCTCCAAAGGTGCTGTGAATTAGAGAGAGAAAAGCAAAAACATTCTGAGATCAAGGGAAGAATCATGATTTTACCACGAACAATGATTATTACTGGTTGCAGCCCCACGTTGCAGGCTTGCCTGCGCTGAGCACAGCCCCACGGGACCTATTCTCTTTCCAGAAGAGCTCCTCCATCCCCAGAGGCTGTTACTGGCTCCACATTCACAAAGGTGTCGTCCCTCTGCTCTGCAGATGCTGGGTATCATTTTAAGACTGGATTTCCTTGCTCTAAACGCTTCGCTTGGGTACCTGCATTTCCCATCGAGCAGCCAGCCGTGTCTTTCACAGGCTGGAATAAACTGGTTGTATTTAACCTGCACAACAACCCCCAGGCCCAGCAGCTTTTCAGACAAGTTTCTGAGTGTAAATGGGATGGAAAAATCAGGAATGTGGTTAAAAAAAAAAAAAAAAAAAAAGGTAGGGCTGGCAGCATCTGTGCTCAGCCACGACCCAGCACAGAAACCTTGTCACAGCGTGCTTGTCCCCAGAGAAAGAACTTGTCACTTGAGCACCAAACATTCCACCAGACTGGACCTCGTCCAAAAAAGCCTGAAAAGAGACCCAAAGGCAGCCCTCGCTCAACACCCCTCTCCAGTGCCATCCCCCGGAGAAATTCCAGGACAAAGCCGACGCTTTCTCCGCATCCGAGCTCCCGCTTCCCCTTCTCCTCCCCTCCCCTTACACCCGTTTATCAACCACATATGCACAAACTGCAGGCAATAAATATTTAATGTGGACCAGGGTCTGAATAGATGTGTTATTTTATTTGAAAATCTCCACACACGCATGCATACACAAAAGGAGCCTGGGATGCAGCAGTGCCAAAGAGCACCTGGGAATAAACACAGTAAAGGCCATAAACGCTCTTGTGAAATGATATAAGCTAAATCCTGGGAGTTAACCTGGTGCACTGGCAGCATGACCAGGCATTCATCTACCCAATTTCCTTAGGCAACGTGGTGTGTAAATGTACCATTATGAAGCCTCAAAATGAATCCGCACGTCTCCTCCTCGGTGCTTTCCCTCCCTTCTCTCCCTCCTGCCCTCTTGGAGCTACGCAAACAAACAAATCAACCTGAGCGGAGCCTCAGCCAGCGAGATCCTGTAGGATCCCTGTAGGATCTCAAACGCCTCGGGTTAAAGAAGAGGTAACGAGAGAGCTCCTGGCCCAAGCCGATGAGCACCTTAGCTAGGCAAGGCAGCCGGAGGGTGGCGTGGGCAGGGGAGCGCTTGCTCCCATCTGCTGCTCTGTGGAAAATAGCAGAATATTTGCCAAAGGGAGGAGGTTGCAGAAAACACTCACTCTGTGTCCTGAAACCCCTTGTGTCTCCCTTCGACACCGAGCTCTGATGTACAGGATGGGCGAGGAGATGCTTAGCAAGAGCAGGACGGGGCCCAGGGCAAGTTGTGGTGACCCACATCAGCCTGGGCACAGACAGAAGAAGCTGGTCCTGCCTTCCTCCCTGTCTCACAGCGAGGAGATGCGTGGTGGGGATGCAATTCTGGCATCTCCCAGGGAGAAGGAGGTCACCTGTGCCTGCTCCCGGAGTGACGGGTCTGTAGGATGAAGCTGCAGCTCCCAACGGAGAGCAGGCAAAGCTGGGGGGCTGAGGAAAACCGAGGGGCACAGCACAGACAGGGCTGACCCCACCGGGGCCGCGGAGTAAAACACCCTCCCCCCCACTGTGGTGCTAATTAGAAACCACAACACAGCAATTACCAGCCCAGGAGCTGCGAATGAAGTGGAGAGCTTGGGCCTTTAATGTTCTCCTCTCCAGCGCCAGGCAGAGACTCACACCTCTCTTTTCCAATTATTTCCTCTGGATTTAGGGGGAGAGAGGCAGAGGCGGAGGGAACCCAATTACCCCCTGCAGTGCCAGGTTCCCGGTACTGGGGGAAGCCGGGTGCTGCCGCGTTTGCTCCCGTGCCAGCTCGCATTGCTGCCGCAGCCCTCCAGCTCCAGGATGGCCACACACGGGTCCCAAAGCCACAGGAGCAAGGATGATGGAGAAAAAAAAGGGATGGAGCTCAACGACTGGGCAAAGCCTGAACAAAACGACCTGGAAGGGAAGAAAGCTTTTATACAGGCTGCTAAGCTGCAGCTCACCTGTAAGATCCCACTGAGCTGCTTGAAAATGTGCTTCCCCAAGGGTGGGCATGGCTGCGGAGGCAGGGGGCTCACAGCAACCCAGACCCAGTGTCGCAGCCACCTCTTTCCAGCAGGCAGTTCCAATGGGTGCAAACCGAGCGAAAATGCAGCGCACACCCCAAGGACGGGGGCTCCTCTTGGAGCTGACCGCTCTCTCTGTGGCAAACTAAACAGAGATTGGGAAGCGCTGGTGCCAGATCTCGCGAGGCGCAGTCCTGTGCCAGGCTCCTCACCCCAAGCATGATGGTTTTCAGCAACATCCCCAGAGTGGGCAGGAAACCTGAGCGGTTTCTGCATTTTTACCCACCGGCATCCCCATCTTTCTCCAAGCGCTCCCGTGCCAGGGCTCAGCCACAGCACCAGCACTGAAGGACCTGGCGGTTGCGGGAGCGAAGTCCTTTCCTTCTTGAGACACCATTTGTTTGCCGTCAGCCCAGCTTAACTTGGCAGAAGACTGTAACCTCCTTTCTGGCAAGCTCTGTCCCCGTCAAACCCACCTGGCCTGCGGCTGGAATTCTGGCAGGGGCACCTCCGCAGCTGTGTGGCACCACACGGGGCTGGGATTTCATCCGTAGCGCAGCAAACCCAATCGTCTTGTGCAAGCAACCTGCCCGTGGAGCTGCTCACAACTAATACAGGTGGTTTTGCAGTGCCTGTGTGTGTGGGGAAGCGCAGAACCTGGCCACTGAGGTGGCAGGTTTGCACAGCCACCCAGGCACACAGCGGCTCCATCACTTCCCAGCTTCCCTCCCTTCATACTCACGAGAAACGGTGTCTGACCAGCGTCAAACTGGGGTCAGGGCTTGGAGTGGAGGGCAGAGCACGTGTAGAGGAGCGGGGTGGGCCTGGAGGACACAGCTCTCCCAGGTTCCCTCTGCCCGTGCTCCCCGCCGGCAGCCTGCCAGCTGGTACCCCACCCTCGCAGTCGCTCTCCCAGGCTTGGCAACGTTTTTGCACCGTTGGCTGGAAGGGATGACAGCCCCGAACAAATGTTGCAACTAAGATATTTCCTACACGAGATCCTTCGCTTCCTGCCAATCCAGATTTACTGGGAAACCAGTAAAAGCCCGTATCAGCCTTGGCTGAGCAACAACCCACATGGCTACAGAATAAAGACAGCCACAACCCTTTCCTTGACAAGGCACCTGTCCCAAGCTCCACAGAAACACGCCATGTTCCCAGAGATGCCAGCGTGGACATCCTCTCCCTCCCACTCGCAAGGGATCCAGCTCTTGTATGTGGTATTGCCAGATTTTATCCGCTCTCCCAATGCCTTGGCAGCAATTTCAGTGGGGCCGCAGCCATCCCCTTGCTTCCCTGGCTGAACAGAGCGAAGAGAAGCAGATTTCTCCTCCATGCCGCAAGACGTACGCTGCAAGCTGGCTGCAGGTCAGAGGAACATCACTCCTTGGGATTGTAATTATATCCTTCTGGCACAGGCCAGCTGGGAGGCAAGTCCTTTGCCTGCTAATTATAGGACATTATATTGCTATTAAACAGAGCACACTCCAGCTTGGTAGACAACACACTGCTCACTTGGCTTCGCCTGTTTACTAGAAGGTGCTTGTGCATCCCCTCATCACCACAGCCAAGCAGCCGGAGGGCAGAGGAGCACGGGGATACAAGTGGTCTCCAGGAATCCTCCTCTGCCAGCACAACACCCAAGTTCCCACCCTGCAGCACCTTCCCCTTCCATCACCGCTCTCCTGCCACAGGCACAGCCTCAAACCCGCCACACTTCCACCCCAGCACCATCAGGCACGTGGCTGCCACCAGCACCAGCTTCTGCCACCGACTCCACCACCTCTTCTCGCAGCTCCTCTTTTCCTGCCGGGTTTTGTTTGAAATTCTGCCCCCTGCATTTAAACCGCAAGCTCCTTGGGACAGGCAAGGACCTGTCCGGCCCTGATCGTTACTTTCAAGCCCCAAACGCAAAGATTTTTTCATCTTGGTGCACCGTCAGCTACAAGCTGATCAAGGACTCTTGGATTGCCAAGGGGAAAGCATAACCGACACTGCGGATCCATGCGATGGTGGGAAAGACCAAGTGCTGCCAGAAGAGCAGATCTTCTTGGAAAACAAACGGACCAAATCACTCTTAGGTTTCTCCAGACATATATAGATGCCCCACTGCATGGGGCAGTCCTAAACTCCTCTCTCTGCCTTAAATCCCTTCAAGAAAAACAAATAGCAACAACCACATTGAAAAGCTGATCATGAAAACCTCTAGCTAAGTCGCCGACCTTCTCGTGAGATGCCATCTACTGCCACCATCTCCTCCTCCTCTCAATGCCTTCTCATCTCCAAGTCCTGACACTGCCTAAATCCCCCCTTTGTGGCTGCTGGCAGCTCTAGGACAGAGCTCAGGCGAGTGAGCCAGGCAGTGTAACCACTCATCAGAAATGGCTCTGGGCAGGGGACACCGAGCCCAAAAAAAGGGACAGAGGTCCTTCCCTTCCTCGCCACACCACCTCTTCCCCAGCAGCAGACTGCAGCCACACGTTCACGGAAGCGTTTTGCAATGGTCATTTTATTCCCTCCCCCCCAACTAGGACCTTCCCTCCCAAAACAAATTACCTCCCTACCAGTCTCTGCTTCTGTGCCAATTTGCTGATTACAGAGGGAGGAGGAAAAAAAATAATAAAATAATGGTCTTTTTTTCTTTCTTCCACCTTTAGGAACGCAAGACCCTGGCAAATGGTTTTGCCCCTGGGCTGAGCCGTGGCCAGTTCCACCCCCTGCAGGAGAGAGTTAATGAAATACACAGCGGAAGGTCCCTCCTGCCTCCCGCTCCAGGACTTCAGCTGACTCCAGTACAGCTA